TATTTATAAACCTAGTGGAGTTAAAGCACCAGATACTGTAGACTGGAGAGAGAAAGGTGCTGTTACTCCTATTAAGGATCAAGTAACTTTAGTATCAGTGTCAATGGTGTCATTATAGTCTGTATTATTATTGTACAGGGTCAGTGTGGGTCCTGCTGGGCATTTTCAGCCATTGGATCACTTGAGGGACAGCATTTTATTAATACTGGTAATCTTGTTTCTCTCTCCGAGCAGCAGCTAGTGGACTGTTCATTAAGTAATTGCTACTTAAATGTTGAGCATATTAATATTATCTGTGTGTGTATATACCTATAGAAAATGATGGCTGTAATGGTGGAATGTTGTCGACTGCTTTTAAATACATCGAATCAGTTGCAGGAGAGGAATCTGAAACAGACTATCCTTACACTGCTAAAGTAAGTACCATCATTAATTATTCATTATGATTGTTATCTTTATTAGAATGGCACATGTCAGTATGATCCTTCTAAAGCTGTTGCCAAAGTCACTGGGTATACTGCTTTACCTAGTGGTGATGAGGATTCCTTAAATGATGCTGTGACAAGCAAAGGTCCCATTTCTGTTTGCATTGATGCTTCTCATAAAAGCTTCCAGGTATAAACCTTTTATATATTGTGTTTTAAAGTAAATTGATTCTATAGCTCTATAGTGAAGGAGTCTACTATGAGAAATCTTGCAGTTATTTTCTTCTTGATCATTGTGTTCTTGTTGTTGGATATGGTACTGAAGATACTGCTGACTACTGGCTTGTGAAGAATAGGTATAAATAGTGTATGGTATGAAATCCCTAATAATGTTTTTATATAGTTGGGGGACATCCTGGGGCATGAAAGGATACATAAGGATGAGCCGTAACAGAAAAAATAATTGTGGCATTGCAACAAATGCTGCTTATCCACTAGTTAATTGAGCTACAACTTTTTGGACTTATTTTTTAATATAGATATAGATATTTTATAGTTGTTTATGTGAGTAACCTTTTTAAATTGCTGCAGTGTGTAAAAATAACTGACATGATGCAATGTGCTCTCCATGCACTCATATGACCAAATCAAATCTACTTATAAGGATGTGCATGCATGTACATGCAGAGGTAGCTTGTGTGACATTCTTGTGATGATATAGTATATACTCGGAAGCAACTGAGAAATTTCATTTTATTTGTAACGTTAAGCAACTGCAAAATGAAACTCCTACTAGTACTAGCTCTTGTAGCTCTAGCAGCTGCCAAGTTTGAATATGCACAAGAGTTCCAGGACTGGAAAGTCAAGTACAACAAGGTCTATGAGACAAAGGAGACTGAGCTTGAGCGTCAAATCATCTGGGAATCAAACAAGAAGTTTGTAGAGAACCACAATGCTAACTCTGACAAATTTGGATTCACTGTTGCCATGAATGAGTTTGCTGATCTTGTAAGTAAAGCATTAGATAATAAATAGTAATTCTTCTTTTAATAACATTTGTAGGACGCTGGCGAATTTGCAAACATTTACAATGGCCTCCTTCCTCGTCCTGCTTCTTACAACAGCACTAAACTCTTTAAGAAAACTGGAGTGAGTGTTGGAGACACTGTAGATTGGCGTGAGAAAGGTGCAGTAACTGAAGTTAAGAATCAAGTGAGAGTACTACATTTGATGTCCTATCCATGTTGAATGTTTTTATGTGTACATAGGGCAAGTGTGGATCCTGCTGGTCCTTTTCATCCACTGGATCACTGGAGGGACAGCATTTCCTTAAAACCGGAACACTCTCTTCTCTTTCTGAGCAACAGCTAATGGACTGCTCAAGTAAAAAAATAAGAAAAATAACATCATTTTACTTATTTTTACAACCTTACAGCTAGTTTTGGTAACCACGGCTGCAAGGGTGGATTGATGGATAATTCCTTCAGATACCTTGAAACAGTTGCTGGTGACATGAGTGAAGAAATGTACCCGTATACAGCAGAGGTATGCTACACATGCACATCATTTTAAGTCATCATATTTCTTGTAATGCATTGCATAGGATGGATTTTGTCGATACCGTTCTTCTGAAGCTATAGCTAAAGACACTGGCTATAAGGACATTCCTCGTGGCGATGAAGATGCTTTAAAAGAAGCAGTGGCTACTGTTGGTCCTATCTCTGTTGCCATTGATGCAGGACATAGAAGCTTCCAAGTACATAGCTTATAAATAACTTCAATAATGATTCTATTTTTAATGATAGTTGTATCATGAAGGTATATATTACGAGCCAGCTTGCTCTTCAACCAAGCTGGATCATGGCGTCCTTGCTGTTGGATATGGCACTGGTGAGGGTGAGGAGTATTGGCTTGTGAAAAACAGGTAATTGTCTGTACTTTCAAATCGGTTTGATTTAGTTTTCATTTTCTATCAGCTGGGGACCTAGTTGGGGTAACGAAGGCTATGTTATGATGAGTCGTAACAGAGAGAATAACTGTGGCATTGCCACACAGGCCTCCTATCCTACTGGCGTGAACTAATTGAGTGCTGATTATTATTTGCTAGAGTTTATATAATTATTATAATAATTCTTATTTTATCTTTAATAACTGTGGTTTGCCCTTTGTTTGTAAATGCCATAAATTACCCTATGAAAATTGTGCATTGACAACCACGCATTTGTGCCCAATCACAAAACTAGTGTTCACCACAAAAGCAAGTCCACAGTGTTCCAAACAATAACATTTTACTCCCGGTGCCTCAAACTTTCACCGTAGCATAAGCACATTAATATGTATCGGAAATGTAATAAAAATGGGGGGGGGAGGTGATTTTGGATCCCCTTTTTGAAATAAACTATGGACTATAGTACAGGAAAATTTTCGAAAATAGATAATTTTTGTCCAATTTCTCTATAGGCGGGGATAGCATCATAGATATGCATAATTATACATCAATGCGCACCGCCCAAGCAGGAAATAGAACTTGAACAAAAGCAAGCGAGAAAGTAAGTCCAGAGCGTTCCAAAACAACAACGTTTAACTCTCGGTAGCTGTTCTCTTTGTCTCGACTCTGTCCCTGTGGTGCCGTGGGTAGCAGTGCTGACTCAAGTTTTAATATGTGAGTGTTTAGTGTTTACAACAAGGTTCACACCTTTGTCAATAAAGATATTCATGATATATACATACATATAATAATACTAAAAGTATATATATAATATTTTGATTCTTATATCTGATAATGTTGTCCTAATTATGCAATATATATCATAGTGACAGAAAGCCTAGACTATTATGCTACATGCTGACTGTTGCATATGTAGCAATACGTACCAACTAATGTCCTCATGTAGCGTGTGCTGTTTTAATTAATTTTTGTACTGGCTCAAATCAAGAGTACATAAAAGAGTATCCAATAACTCTATTAAAACAAATCCATTGAAATTGATTTCTGTAAATTAATTTTAAATAAATTGGAACAAATGTTTTTAAAAAATAAAGTTTGAGCGTGCAAAGCAAGCCACTATGGTAAACTATTGATTTGTGAATGACTCAAGGTTTTTTGTGTGTATTTGTGAATATGATGCATGTTATGTCTTGGGAAATTGAATAATAGTGTATGTTTACCTATAATACTCCCACACAGAATCATGTGACACTTCCCTTAGCTTAGTTCATCTAATGCACCTGATCTTGTGGTCATGCACTTGTGCCATTTCTGTAGTAAATTAATTGATTTTTTTAAAATGTAGAATGAAATTCTTACTAGTAGTACTAGCCCTTGTAGCTCTAGCAGCTGCCAAGTTTGAATATACACAAGAGTTCCAGGACTGGAAAGTCAAGTACAACAAGGTCTATGAGACAAAGGAGACTGAGCTTGAGCGTCAAATCATCTGGGAATCAAACAAGAAGTTTGTAGAGAACCACAATGCTAACTCTGACAAATTTGGTTTCACTGTTGCCATGAATGAGTTTGCTGATCTTGTAAGTATTATTAATGTATTTGGAATGTGTTTATGTATACTTTCTTTGTTTATCTTTATAACAATCATTCCTATAGGATGCTGGGGAATTTGGTCGAATTTTCAATGGTCTACTACCTCGTCCTTCTTCCTACAATAGCACCAATATTTATAAACCTAGTGGAGTTAAAGTACCAGACACTGTAGACTGGAAAGAAAAAGGTGCTGTTACTCCTATTAAGAATCAAGTGAGTTTAGTATCAATGTCAATGTGTTATTATAGTCTATATTATTGTACAGGGTCAGTGTGGGTCCTGCTGGTCATTCTCTTCTACTGGTTCACTTGAGGGACAGCATTTCATCAATACCGGCACTCTTGTTTCTCTCTCCGAGCAACAGCTAATGGATTGTTCAAGTAATAAATACAACATCAATAAGTTTTGAAACAACAACTGTCTTGTATATGTAGCAAAATACGGGAATCACGGCTGTAATGGTGGATTAATGGATAATTCCTTCAGATATCTTAAATCCGTTGCTGGTGATGAAACTGAGGATAATTATCCTTATACTGCTGAAGTAAACCATTAATTTGTTAATAATTCAATTACAAATGTACGTTTGTAGAATGGTGTGTGTCGTTATGACTCATCCCTAGCTGTTGTAACTGATAAAAGTTATGTTGATATACCTCAAGGTGATGAAGACTCTCTGAAAGATGCTGTAGCTAACGTTGGCCCCATCTCTGTTGCTATTGATGCAAGTCATTCAAGCTTTCAGGTATGTTCAGGGTTTCCCACAGGATTATCATAGTGTTCATGTAGCTTCAAAGTCCCTGTACTATAGTATAGGGTTGTTAGCCAAATATTAATTGCCAAAAGTGACTAGGAGAGAATTCTCTATTTTTATATTTTTTCTGTTACATATAATTCTCCCGACTCATTGTTTTGACTAGCTATGTATGAATTTTAGTTTTTTGCATTTATTTGACTAAAATTGTGATTGTCTTTTTTCCTTAGTTGTATAATTCAGGAGTTTACTATGCTTCCACCTGCTCCTCAACCCAGCTTGATCACGGTGTCCTTGCCATTGGCTATGGCACAGAAGATGGTAAAGATTACTGGCTTGTAAAGAACAGGTATTTTAATTTCTCCACACAAACTTTTTAATAATCATTATTGTTATTTTCTAGTTGGGGGACATCCTGGGGCATGGAAGGATACATAAAGATGAGCCGTAACAGAAATAATAATTGTGGCATTGCTACTCAAGCTTCCTACCCCACAGGGGTCAACTAGTCATGAAGCTAGTTGTCATCATCATTATTTTTATAGTCTCAAAAGTACATTAAGTCCTTTATACATGAACGCTGCCGCTGCTATAACTTAATTTTACTTGTAATATCAATGCACACACCTGCTGACATTTTTTTGTTCAATAAATTCAATTCATTATCTTTTCAATGAGTTATTTAAGTATTTAAACTCACTGTATAGCAGTGACATGTAGTGATCGGCAGTGTCGGCCTGCACCTGCAGTGATGAAAATCTATAGCTTCTTGAATGGTCTAGCCATCTTGAGCCTTTTTGTATCCTCTTCAGTTGCAACAAGTGATGGAGAAGAATATGAAGAGTGGAGTCTATGGAAGAATGAGAATGGCAAAGTTTATCTTCAAAGTGAAGAGGAGCTAGAGCGATTGTCCATTTGGAAGTCAAACAAGCTTTACATAGAAGAGCACAACCGGTATTCAGAGTTGTTTGGATTCACACTCAAAATGAATCAATTCTCTGATATGGTGAAGAGAATATTATTATTATTATTATTATTTGGTTCTACATGTAGACTTCCTATGAGTTCCTTAAAATTACAACCAGTAGTGGAGCTAGCATTGGAGGGCCTGAACATGATGATGATGATAAAGGGAAGGATGATGATAAAGGGAAGGATGATGGTGATAAAGGAAAAGATGATGATAAAGGAAAAGATGATGATAAAGGAAAAGATGATGATAAAGGAAAAGATGATGATAAAGGAAAAGATGATGACAATAAGGATGATGACAGTCACGATCATGACAGTGATAGCAAGGAGGCTGATTCTCCTCATGTTTGGAGCACTATTGGAGGCTATTTCTCTTTGCCTCAGCATTTCAATATAACCAAACTACCAGAAACTGTTGATTGGAGAGACGAAGGTGTTGTAACACCAGTTAAAGACCAGGTATATATAATAATTACATGTATATACTTAATTGCTAACGTACACAGGGTTTCTGCAACAGTGCTTATGCCTTTACAGTCACTGGAGCAATTGAAGGAGCATATGCAGTATCCACTGGAGTACTTGAACCACTTAGTGATCAAAACATTGTTGACTGCTCAGGTATAGTACATGAGTGATATGTGATTGCATTATTAGCACGTGTTTCAGTGGTGTATGGTAATAAAGGTTGTAAGGGAGGGGACAGAGAAGCAGCACTGATGTATATACTAGACAATGATGGGATAGATAAGGAAAAAGCCTATCCATACATAGCATCAGTGAGTTACACTAGTAATTTTAAATGCATGCATTATCTTTAAATCTTAATTTAATACAGCAAGACACTTGCAGATTTAGAGTTGATGAAATCGGAGCTGTTGTTAGAGGCATGGTCAAGATCAAAAAAGGAAATGTTAGCAACTTGCAAGCAGCAGTGGCTCTTGTTGGTCCAGTAACTACCTCCATTGATCACCAGCACAATGCATTTAGGGTATGTCCACTGCATATGGACAGTCTATAGTTAATGAGATAGTTTGTATAGTTTTATAGCAGTGGGATATTTACTACAAGGAAGTGCTCAAACAAGAAAATGACACATGAAATGCTGATTGTTGGATATGGCAAAGAAAATGGAAAGAGTTACTGGCTCCTGAAAAACAGGTAATACAAGATGTATATTGTATATAAGATTAAATCTATTTGCATGTAGCTGGGGGCCAAACTGGGGGATCAGTGGTTATATGAAGATGGCAAAGAGGAATAGGAATCATTGCGGCATTGCTACAAGAGCAATATTTCCAAAACTTTAGAGCCTACAAGATGATAACAGTCTAACACCTAGTAGTACCAATAGTAGTATCAATTGTGCCTATCACAATTGCATGTATAGAACACGTGTACATGTAACACATGTATTTAGTCATGTATTCAATAATTTAAATAGGGCATTGTTATTTGAAAAGTCTTTAAATTGTCAATGGGTTACATGTACTGCAGCTGAAGGTTTTATAAGTCACAGCTCGTGAGGCTACTGAGTCAGTAAAAAACCCGGAGTAAAGTTAAAATGAGTCTTCATCTTGTGCTACTGCTCTTGTCTGCAATACTTCATCAATGTGCCCTTGCTGCTCCTTTCCATGAAGAATGGCTACTCTGGAAGGAAAAGCATGGTAAGGTTTACCCTCACGGAGAAGAGGAAAGCAAGAGACTTAATATCTGGCTGGAGAACAAGAACTACATTGAAGAGCATAATCAGAAAGCACATGTTCATGGTTTCACTTTAAAGATGAATCACTTTGGAGACTTGGTAAATATATGAGATTATAGCATAAACTTCAAAATGGTTTTTTTTGTTAGACAATTGAGGAATATCGCCAGTCACGCTATGCTACTTGCTATCATTCACCGGATGATGATATTCTCTCTTTGCCCCATAATGCCACTGTGAAAATGTACAGTAGACCTGATGATCCTAATCTGCCCGAGGAAGTTGACTGGAGGACAAAGAATGCTGTTACTGGTGTTAAAGATCAGGTTAGTTACAGTGCATATATGCTTTATTGAATTCAATGTATATGCACATTGACAGGGTCAGTGTGGTAGCTGCTATGCTTTCAGTGCCGTCGGTGCTTTAGAAGGCGCTCAAGCACTTGCTCATGATAAATTAGTACATCTAAGTGAACAAAATATAGTAGACTGCTCAAGTTAGTAATAAAGCTGCATAGTGTTAGTGTATCATTAATTGAGGTATTTATACAGTTCCTTATGGTAACAAAGGATGCAACGGTGGAAATATGTACGAGTCATTTCGCTATATTATAGACAATGATGGAATTGATAGAGAAGACGGTTACAAGTACACTGGAAGAGTAAGTTATGTAATGATGCTGATATTTATATTTTAACTTTACTGATAGCAAGGGCAGTGTAAATTTGATCGTAAGGCAATAGGAGGAAGACAAGTAGGAATCATTCATATTCCAACTGGAAGTGAAGCAGAACTCCAGTCAGCTTTAGCTACCGCTGGCCCTGTTTCTGTTGCCATTGATGGAAGCTCTAATGCATTTAGAGTAAACCTTTTAGTAATGATAAAATTACTTTTATGAATTTATTTTATAGTTTTATGAGAAAGGAGTCTTTGATGAACCCAATTGCTCTACCACTAAGCTGACTCATGCTGGACTCATCATTGGCTATGGAAAAAAGAAAGGGAAGCCATATTGGCTTGTTAAGAACAGGTTTGAAAAAACAATACAATTCTGCAGAATTAATTTCATTCATTTTCATGCATGTGTATAGCTGGGGTCCACACTGGGGGATGAAAGGGTACATAATGATGGCAAGAAACAAGGCAAATCAGTGCGGGATTGCTACAGCTGCTTCTTTTCCAACACTCTAATGACATTAAACATTAACACGCATGACATATACAAGCATGCAAATGTACAGTGTTATAATGTATAATAGATCTACATTGAAATGTGAATAAAATAATTGATTGACCTAGCACAGGACTTGTTATTTAACAGTATCATATGACATGAATACTCAATGCCATTCTATTCAGCTCATTGTAGCAGTACATGATACAGCTCCACCTTCAATGTTTTCAATAGTGTTGTTGCCTGGCCACTGTAGTGTAGATAGTTCAGTAACCAATGGTTTTGTGACAGTTTAGTTCTATTCAGCTTTATACTGAGAAGCCTTTCCCCTTTGAGTGATGCAGTCTTCATGGAAGCTGCTTTTTATTCTAGAGATTTGTCTAGCTGCCATTTCGAACTGCAGTGCCAAAAGTGTTAATGTTGAGGCTCCTTCCTCAGCTCCTCACACTCACAGCGTTGACTTTCCATTCAAATATGACTCTGGCTGGCTTGGCTGGAAGGCCAAGCACACCAAATCTTACGAGAGTGACATACACGAACTGGAAAAGTATGTGACCTGGGTCTCTAACTCAGCACTGATCGATGCCCACAATGCCCTACGCTCTAGTTTTGGATACACACTCGCCATGAATCAATTTGGGGACTTGGTAAGGAATAATTTTAGCAATTTTTATTATAATTACTAACTGGAACCATAGACTTCATCAGATTACTACTATGGGACAAAGTGCCTCTATCAATATAATTATGGTGGTTCACAGAACAGCTCTGCGACTGAGGCTGATCAGGATAACTTGTTCAATATGAAACTCTTTGAATGGCCAAAAGGTTTAAGTTCCTCGTCTCTCCCGAGTGAAGTTGACTGGAGGACAATGGGTGCAGTTGGAGATGTGAAAGATCAGGTCAACCATACAATGAAATAAAATTTAAGCCATGAGCAATGCTGAGCATGTTTACACGTAATGTATGTAGTTAGTACTAACCCCAGGCTGGGCCCATTCATCCAATAAAAGGCTCTTCTATTCAGTACTACCACACACACCTTGTACATGTTATAGGGTCGTTGCAAGTCCTGCTATGCCTTTAGTGTGACCGGAGCTATTGAAGGAATGGAGGCACTGGCTAGTGGGAAGTTTGTCTCTCTCAGTGAGCAGAATATCATTGACTGTTCAGGTAAATACCATAGACAATAGATATGCAATTTACGCTTGCCCTTTGCTTCAGTTATTTATGGAAACATGGGCTGTAGTGGTGGCAGTCGGGAAATATCATTTCTGTATGTCATTGATAAAAATGGAATCAACACCGAACAGAGTTATCCCTACATTGAGTCGGTAACTAGTATCTCTTTGTTGGCTTATAGTTTATTTATTTTTTGTCCAGCAATACTTGTGCTATTTTAAAGAGTCTGCTATTGGAGGAAGAGCAACAGGCATGGTCCGTATTGCATCAAAGAGTGAAACTGATCTAATGGCTGCTGTAGCAATATCAGGACCAGTTACTGTAGGAGTTGACCACATGCACTCATCATTTCAAGTGAATAAATTATAATTTCAAAATAATTATGACATTATTATTATTGTTGTTGTTTAAAGTTTTACAGCAGTGGCATTTTTGATGAGCCTTCCTGTTCTTCTACATCACTCACTCATGCAATGGTCATAGTTGGATATGGTTCTTATAATGGTAAGGATTACTGGCTAGTAAAGAACAGGTATGTGTAATGTATAATAAGCACAAACTGAATACTTTCTTCTTTAATACAGTTGGGGGGCTAACTGGGGAATGAGTGGTTACATAATGATGGTAAGGGGAAAGTACAATCAGTGTGGTATTGCTACAAGAGCAATCTATCCATCAAAATAGTGTGTGATTATTATTCTATTGCAGTAGCAGTAGCAACAGAATAGGCTCGTGCATAATAGAAATATTCATCATCATTATAATTATTAAATGCAGTTGTATTTAGAATTTTATTTTATTTCAGTGACGTCTTTGTTTTGTTTCTGTAATAATATAGTCCTGCAAAATAAATTTTACAATACTGGTACATTATTTTGAAGTATTGCCATGATAGCACTGCTTGCAAATTTACCTATGAGAGTATCTGCTCTTGACATAACCTATTAGCACTTTGAGCTACCACCCACGCACAGCTGAACTATCACGTGATCAACCTTGCATGCTTTCAATCACTCGAAGCGAAGAGAAGAAAGAGGGAAGACAATGGGAGGAAAGCAAGTCAAGTTTCAAGAGAAGCATCTGCGAGACTTTGAAGAGCTGACTCCTTTTAACAGAGCTGAGATATCTCATGCCTTCTCCCGTTTCACAGAACTTTACAACAAGTACTACGGGCAGTCCGCCGCCCAGCCAACGGAGGACAGTCCTCACCACATAAGAGACAACCAAGGCTTTGCTAACCCTTTAGCTGCCCTACAAGTGACACACATCATGGATGAGCTACCAGAGCTTAGTAGCAACCCCTTCAAGTATCGTATTTGCAAAGCTTTTTGCGTTTCCAACAGCAACCTCATGAATTTTACCGAATTTCTAGACATGGTGTCATCTTTTAGTCCAAAGGCTGACCTTGACAAGAAAATCCATCACGCTTTCCAAATATTTGATATGAACGGTGACGGAGTGCTTAGTCGATCTGACCTCTACGACATGATGGACATGATGACTGGAGTTGGTAAGTAAAGGAAGCACTCTTTCATTCTTTTTCTTTGTGGTTTTTTTGTATTTTATTACCGTTATTATTACCGAGTCTGGCCTGGCCAGCCCCCTGCAAGACTAATTATTACCAAATAGCAAGTTTTTAGAGGCCCAATCTCATATGCTTTGTCTCCAAGTGTTAACGTGATGCCACTCTGAAGGGGACTATTGTGTTAATGTGCCTATTTGGCATGTTATGGAAATAGAAACTGATTCTAATTAGATTTACAGACTAATGAGGATACTATAATTTGTTGCGCCCCCATTCCATTCATAACTTTGTGCGACTTGAAAAGTTATTGTGTGGGCATTAATTGGAATTGTAAACTTGGTGGGTTTTAATTAGAAACTTATTTGTGATCCCTCACCGGGCATGTCCTCTGATTACTGAAGAGTGAATGTTTCAAGTGAGGGAAAAGCAATATCTTTAAATTGCACATCTGTTCGATTCTCACACGATATTATTTAGTCTGATAATGATGATCGTTTCATAATACGAACAACAATTGTACAAGTTACTAATAATGTATGTATGTTTTGAGTTTTGTATTAATTTTTTTAGACCTGGAGCCTTTAACTAATCCGCAAGAGAAGGCGCAGTGGATCAAAGTGAGACAATGGATAGTGGACGGCATCTTTTATGAGTGCAATAAAATTGAGGAGGTGCGAATGGTCGATGAGGATGAGATGGAGTCACAAGAGCCCAGTGGTATCAGGATTGATCTCAATCCAGGACCTGGTGAAGAAGAGGAAGACGGGGAGAATTCTCAAGAACTACAGGAGTCACTCACAATTGAAGACTTCCGTTACTGCATGCATCGTTCGCCTGACTTTAAAGACATTTTTAGTTTTAAAATCTAAGCTACATATATATATTTATTGCATGTACTTGTACCTGTTATTGTCATATTACTATTATACATTAGTCTTGTTGTTATATTTTTATCCTTCTGGTCCAATTAATGGCATTTTTATTTCATTTTCATGATTTCATCAATGTTTATTGTAATCATCTTCCTAGCTTTATTTCATTAGCACAGTTGCATGTGCAGATCACGTGAGCTCGAAAGGGGATGCTACCTCTCTCTATTGCTGACGATGAACGAACAGTAGAAAGTGCTAGTGGAACATCATCTCATAAAAGCAACTAACAGATATATTAGCTTGTCTGTCTATCATTACCGCCTCTCCAGTTTATTTATAAATAAAGAAAAAAAGAGGACAAGTGAGGATTTCAAGAGGTTATGATGGCATCCCCCGGCAGTTTCGGAGCTCTCGGCCCAGAGAGAAGGCACCTTGCTAAACAGGTCGTATCCTTCCGACATCACGCCAAGAAATTGAAGAAGATCTTTAAAGAGACAGTAAAGGTCCTCTCAGACCTACAGGACTTTGATGAGTCCCTCTCAATAGACAGCATACTGGCATTAGAGGCACAGAAGTGTATCTCGAATGTTGTGAGTGGTCGTACTGCTCTTGTTGTATTTGGAGAGACACGTCTTCGTACTTGCATCGTCAACGAGATCTTGGGTGAGGCAATACTTCCTCTGCCGTGGGAATCTGACGAGGAATGGCGTCTTGTTCATTTTAAATACAAGAAGCATAGGGTGATGTGCCATACTAGAGATGGGTATGACCTTGCAACTGATAAGCATTCTGGACACACCCTACCGTTTAGTAGAATACCGCGGGAGGTGAGTTTTTGTGGCTTGGTTTTAGCGAATGAACTCTTGGCATTATTATAATCCAATGTTTATCATTACTTTGACTTATATACACTTGTACGTGTACATGTAGATAAGCAAAATAGTTGATTATGTATCTGTGTGTTTGAAATTGCCTTCTTTTACTTCCGCATAACAATTTTAGTATCTCTTTCTCTCTCCTTCCTTCTTCATCATTTTCCTCTCTCTTATTTTTCTCTTCTCTTAGAATATCTGTCTCAGTGGTCCTGGTGTAGATCCTGCCCTCAGTGATGCAACCCTGGAAGTTGGTCTCAATAATCCGATCCTGGAGGCTGGGTTTGAGATTATCTGTTCGCCAACGGCTCGTCCTGATATCCAGGCTATCAAAAAAACGTTGCAAGTCTGTCAAGTCGAGCTTCATCCTTTCTTTATTTATGGACACAATGCCAAGCAGCCTCTTACTGAACAAGTATGTAATGAGAGAGAGAGAGTTTGGAAACAAATGCATTAGTTCATTAAAACTAGAAGTACATGACTACGTACATACGTATACAATTGTACATGCAAAAGGAGAGGGGGAGGAGAGAGAGAATGATAGGCGTCATTCAATTTTCATAGTTAGATGTTATTTATTGTTTATATTTGACCGTCGGATGTTTTGTATTTTCTTCTTATGTGTTCTTTGACAAATTTTTTTGTTTCAGTTTGACAACGTACGTGTGTATCTCCTCCTACCTTCTCACTCTGATAATAATAGTTAATGTAATTACTATAGCATCCTTATATCTCATTGATCAAAAGAGTGTGTCTGCTTAAAATGAAGTAGGAAGTCTTGTTACATAGTGTAATTCCAGTAATCAATAATGCTCTCCATCCTTCATCTAATTGTTCTTATAGTGTTTGAGGTTTTTCACAGCTTGCCTGTGGCTTTGTAGGCTTGTATGGCAACAGTGTAGCGAGCCTGCTATTGAAAAGATTGTGGTCTTTCTATTATTATTATTTTATTGTTATGCATGCTGTTTCTTGCCCTTGATGTCTGGTGAGAGAGATATCCAATCACTCTGTCTGTGAAAGAGATGACACTTTGGGTGTGTGTGTGTATGTGTATGTGTTAGCTACGTGTATTGCTATCTTTCATTTCCTTGTTTCATTTCCTCTCCTAGCAATGTCAAGAGTTGGAGCTAATGAGGCGACTAATGCCTGACGTTCCTCTCCTCTTTGCCGTTATATCTCAAGACGGACCTTCTGCCACTGTAGCAGCCGCCATGGGACGTCGGCCGGTTACCGATAGCCCTAGTCTCGTTGCAGTCATCAGTCATATTTACGAACAGCTCTGTCAGCTGGGGTACATGAAGGACTCGTCTAGTAATGATTCGATGGTTATCGGTCCCCCGACTATCGGCCCTCACGATAATCCAGAATCCAATCCAGATCTCTCATTTAATTTTATACCTGTAGATACCATCGTCAGCCATTTTGTGGACTTCACTCCCGAACTTCTTAATTTCGTCCAGTGTAACATGCGTCAACAGATCACCAGCGCCGCCTATTCACTACACGACGCCCATGCACGCTGTCTCCAGACTCTCATCCTCTACGCTCATGATTTAGCACGGGATGTACTAGTTACCCCACGTAGGATCAAATACTGTAAACAGATGGAAGAGAAATTATACACTCAACTCATAGAGCTGGCCTCCAAGAAGCAGTCGGAGATAAAGGATATTGTCTCTTCCTCTATAACGGAAGCAACCGATGACATCATTAGTGAGGTAGTGGCCCTCGAGTTGGAAGGCGTCAATCTTGAGGAGTCCGGAGCAGCGTCCGATGCAAAAACCCTCCGCCAATGTATCACTATAATCCAGGATCACATATTCAAGCAGTTGAGTTTGCACATATCCTCGCGTCTCGTTAGCTCTGTCAACTACCTCAGAGAGAGTGTCATTGGGACTCTCAAACGCGTCATCGAAGGACTCGAGAACGGAGACTCTGACGAAGGAGACAGCTCACGGGCGCTCCAGCACATCCTCGACTCAGCCTATACCCTCGAGTTCAGCGAGAGGACCAGCACCTCGGCCGTTCGTCTGTTCCTGGAGCGTGTCAAGCAAACCTTTAGCGGCCCTTCGTATAAAACCATTAACTTACGGGATAAGTCTTGGAGGGAGAAGTACACGCAGCAGCTCATTGATAGTCTGAGTAGCTCTCGACTCGCTAAAGGGATATGCTCACAGTTTAGAAGTAAAGTTTCGTCGTCTCACGAGTCTTTCCTCTCGGCCATGAAGCAGCTTGAGCTGAGACACAGCGGACGACTCAAGGAAACAGAAGGACAGAGGGAAACGATCAGAAAAGTCAGTTATACACTCCATACAATTATATACTGTTACATATGCAACTATAGTTTACCTAGTGTATTATAAAGTGTAATTTGTTTATATGTATCTATAATGATGTACACGCATTATTAAGATTATTGTCATAATTCAAATTAATGCTCCTTATCCTCCCCACACAGACATTGACACCAAAGATGGCCAGACTGTCTTTAAGCAGTGTTGCTCTTAGGGATGGTATAGTACATGGTCTACCTGTCACTGGGAGAGAGTTAGGTACATTTATGTGTGTTTGATTACAAAACAATTAGTCTCTACTATATTTTTAATGTAAATAGAAACCTTTCACTGTTCTGCATGTATTGTGGTACAGTAGCTGCCATATTTAGGGTGTGTCTATTCATAAATTGGTCATCAATACAATTAGAAATCACATATTGACTTACATGTAGATATTTACAAATATTGACCCCATTATCACATTACTTTCTATGTAATAGCATTATTGTTTTTATTATTATTATTATTTTATTATTATTACATTGTAGGTAGAGGTCAATATGGAGTTGTGTTCCAATGTGCTGAATGGGCTGGTAAAGGCCCACTGGCTGTGAAAAGTGTAGTACCGCCTGATGACAAGCACTGGAATGACCTAGCATTAGAGTTCCATTATACCTGGTGAGAGAGAGGGAGAGAAAGAAAGAAATACATGTAGAGAGATGGGCAAATTAAGAGATACATACACAAATGTACTGCACATGTAAATATTCATCCTTTGTTTTATTTTTGTTATAGGACTCTTCCTCGTAATGATCGCGTGGTTAATCTTGTTGGTGCTCTTATTGATGACGATTATTCAAACGGGTCTAGTGCCGTTGTCCTCTTCATAATGCCACGGTATCCCCGGGACCTTCACGCTGCTCTCAAAGTCGGTCTTGATTTCGGGAGCCGCATGCAAATCGCGCTAGACGTCGTCGAGGGAATACGATTCCTACACAGCCAGGGACTCCTCCACAGAGACATCAAGTTAAAGAATGTTCTGGTAAATTTATTGTTTTATTTACATGTACGATGGGAGAGTTTCTTTTATGTGTTTGTGTGTTTGTGTTAGTAATAGTAGAGACATTATCTCTGCCTCTTATCACATGATACTCCCTTCTTCTTCAGTATTAGTATAGAGTATCAGATAATTTAATCTTTACTATCAGTAGTAGGGTGTAGTCTAAGTTTTGATTATAGTCTACACTTGATACCCTAATTAAGCTACATGTATGATTGTATGTACAACATTTAAGTCAATCCCTATTACCATTTGAAGTTACACATGTGTCATAGTGTACAGTGTCTGCCCACAGGATTATGGCAGGGTATTGCAACAAAAATCGAAAGGAGAGAATTCTCCTTTTTTATATTTTTTCCTGATACATATACACATTTTTATGTTGTATAGAAAGTTTGAGCAAAACCCAATTAAATTTGGATTTTTTATGAATTTTTAAAGTTTCTCCAAAATCGGGCCAAAGTCCCTGTACTATAGTACAGGGACTTTGGCCAAATTTCACCAAAAATGGCTAGGAGAGATTTCTTTATTTTTACACTTTTTTCTGATACATATACATGTCCTTATGTTGCATATTCATTTTGAGCTGATTCCGATCAAATTTGGATTTTTTATGAATTTTTAAAGTTGCAAAAAATTGTGTCAAGAGTCCAAATGCTATGTATACTGTATTGTAGTGCTTGTCAGTTAATGAAGCTCATGCTGTTTAGCTCACTTAGTATGCTTAGTGGGAAACCCTGGCCTATACTACACGTACATGACTACATGTAACACATTATATGTGTAAACTGAAATTAAACTCTACATTTTATATTATCTCTTTCCATACAGCTTGATGCCAGTAACAGAGGCACGCTCACTGATCTTGGTTTCTGTAAACCTGAGGCGATGATGACCTGTACTATAGTTGGTACTCCTATCCACATGGCACCAGAGCTGTTTGGAGGAACATATGACAGTGCCGTGGACATATACGCCTTTGGAATCCTCTTCTGGTAAATGCATCAACATCATAGCAATAACTATTATTCACTAGCTAGTGATCATTCATAGTGTTTCTATTTTTAGAATATATTGATGTTTCTATTTTTAGAATGTAGAGTAATATTATGGTGTCTCTATTTATAGGTACATATGTTCTAATGATACGAAGCTTCCCGGGGCATTTGATACATGTCAGAATAAAGAGCAGCTCTGGAATGCAGTGAGGAAAGGACTCAGACCAGAGCGACTGCCGAGGTTTGATGTAGACTGCTGGGAGCTGATGTGCTCTTGTTGGGAAGGAGACAAAGAAAACAGACCACTTGTTGGTGATATTGCTTTACGTATCGCTCTCATTATGAAGAGAATCGGACGGAAGCCATTGTTTTAAATTAAATTATGAAGAGAGTGAGGGGGGCGGTTGGTTGGTAATCAAAGACTTGAGTGGTATTATACTATTATTATTATTATTATTATTTCATCTTTTTTTGTGAGTGTGTGTATATATAAATATCTTTGTTTTCTCTTTCTTTTTCCATTTCTTTTTCTTATTGTTTTTGCCTGCTGGTTGTTTTGGTTGGCTGGCAATTTTTAACTAAAGCAATTTATAATCTTTTTCATGTTAGTCAATTGTGATATA